TAGATACATTTACAGAGCCATATCTCTGACGTGCCCTGACTGATTATGTTCAACCTTGTGTATATGCCACACATCATGTCAGAATTTGCAGATGTAAATGTTTAATGATCAGATTCAAGATTTGTGAATACATTGGACATCATAGAACCTTGGTGTGCATCATTTTATTTTCAAGATTTGTTTCAAAATAACTGACTAGTGGCCATTTTGTTTTATTGCATACTGTTCCAGAGTCATCTCTGGCATGCCTTGATTGATCATTTTCAAACTTTATACATACATCATGTAACATATTTGCAGATGTTTTTGTTTGATGATCAAATTCGGGATGGCAGAATGGCGTTAATTTTAATATTGAAAAATGCAGTTAAAAGCCACATCTCTTGTATATCCCCCAGTAAAGTGACAGCTAGAATAGGCCATGCTACTTAATTAACATGTCCCTCAGTGAAGTGCAGTGTTGTTTCCAGAAAATTGCATACTAATTTGCATATTGATTTGAAGACTACTGATAATAATAACAGTAGGTACAGTTGTACTTTTAATCTCCTTGCTTAAAAAACAGGTTATTGTGCTTAGGAAGCATTCAAACTGTATTCCTGCCTCAGTCAATTTTCTTCAGCACTGCTCCAGCATATTTACTTCAAAACTAATATAAAAGGGATATTTATTTATACTGGATTTCTTTCATTTCATGATTGCCTTCAAGAAGTTTTGATTCCTTGATCTTGACTAGTATATTATGGATAATTCTAGTCTAGTGTGTTGTCATGTTTATTTGCTTTCAATTTTTGAACGCAACACTAACCAAGCTTCACACTTCCTTTCAGTCAACCGACTGTGCTGTTTTTTTGTGTTAATTGAAGGTCGGAAATAATACAATAATACATGTATGTAACAGGTTGACAATAAATCTTTGATTAGATCTGTCTTGGTGGGATCACTGAGTAGCGGCCATGATATTCTAAAATGCTTAGGAGGAAACACTGTAAGTGACATTTAACATAGGCTGCGTTACCGGATATACAATGGCCACTGAAATGCAGTGTTCTATCCAGGTCCTTTAAGCACAGCAGTTTTATGATGCTTGGCCAATGAAATACAATGTACAGTGTTCTATCCAGGTCCTTTAAGCACAGCAGTTTTATGATGCTTGGCCAATGAAATGCAGTGTTCTATCCAGGTCCTTTAAGCACAGCAGTTTATGATGCTTGGCCAATGAAATACAGTGTTCTATCCAGGTCCTTTAAGCACAGCAGTTTTATGATGCTTGGCCAATGAAATACAGTGTTCTATCCAGATCCTTTAAGCACAGTAGTTTTATGATGCTTGGCCAATGAAATACAGTGTTCCATCCAGGTTCTTTAAGCACAGCAGTTTATGATGCTTGG